ATCATCATCATCATCATCATCATCATCATCATCATCATCATCATCATCATCATATGTGAGGCGTGCTGACAAAGTGAGTTTATATTTTATTACCCATGAATGGAGATCCTAACCGACAACAGACACATCAAATTCGTATATTTTAGATTGACGCGATTTTCATCAAGATAAATATATCGTTTATCATTTCATATAGTAAATTGCATAAACTAAACCTACAAATGTGACGTATATCTGTGTCCATGAGGCTAAAATCCAAGAATTAACCCAATTTGTTAGAACACCTCATAAGCAAGTACTGTGCTCTAGGTAATAAGAAAGCCCACGTGCACGAGTACTATAGACTCAGACAGCCAGAACTGAAGTGGTCACAAAACCATACTCTTTTCTATGAGCTAAATGATAAGGTACCGGAGATACGTAAGATCCACATGAAAAACTGACAACTACATTATCACCATTGCCTTTCTCATCCTGGGTCAGGATATAGGCCACGAACAAACACTTTCCACCTTTCCCTATCCTGGGCTAGGCGCTTGATGTCACTCCATGTCTTCCCACTTTTCTGTACATCCTTTTCCGTGACTCTTCTCTAGGTTCCACGTGGTCTTCCCTATGATCTTTTACCCTGTGGGTTCCAATCTAACACCTTCCTTGTTGTATGCAGCTGCTTGACATCCTGAAAGTGTGCCCAATCCATCGCCAACGACTTCTCCCCACCTCATCTCTGACTGGGTGACTACTACATACTACATATTTTTATAGTATTTCATTCCCACGAGAAGAGGACCATTGGCCAATAGTCAATATTGAGTTTTTTATTTTCATTTAACACTTTTAGATTTTTTAGAAGTCGGGACGTCCGAATTTAACGTCTACCCCCGATATGACCCAGGCTGATGGTTGGAGACTGTGTTTAGAAGGCATGAACTCTGACGTAACGCCATCCAGTCATTCCACTCAAATGCTACGTTTTGCAGCCTTCTTTGGTGTGTGCGTCAAACAAACAATTCTATTGTTAGCAAAATGTGACTATAACCCTTTATTTTTCTGACCCCTACAACTGACAAGTCTGGCAGGGTAAAGTGTTAAAGAAAATTCCTAATTGGTAAGTTAGGTGTGTGGGGAGGGGGAGGGGGGGAAGTTAGGTGTGAGGGGGGGGGGTAAATGACCTGAAGGGCCAAAGAAGAGGCGATTAACGAACTCCAAGAAAATAACAACAATCTCTGGCACACAAGGCACTATTTTATTGAAGAAATAAAGAGAGACCACGACATCGTTGAACCGACTCTGTAAAGGATACCATTAGAAGAGCATTATGACCCTCCACCAAGCCACGCGACTCGCAGCTGACAAACGATTGTTTCTTCTCGAGACACCAAGCAGTGCCAGCGGAAGAAAAAAAAAGTAAAGGTGAAATAAGGATCGTATGGCTACAACCAGTGTGTGAAAGATTACCGACAATCTCGTCTGCACTGGCATAAACCGTGTCCAAAATACCCCCCCCTCACACTATAAATCGACAGTTTGTGAATATATGCATGAGCTTGTCGCGCACTTGAATACAATACCAGTGATAATACGTTGCCTGGCGGCATACCTTTTCTGGGTCATAGGTCGACAGTCTGTCAACTATCCTCATGACGTCATTAGGTGAGTACCTCCGTCCCGGGAAAACCGGAACCTGGTAGGCCTCCACAGAGCGCGTGAACTTAGGCAAGTGTACCAGGTCCATTTGGCTGTCCTCCGCCTCGTGGATCTGGAAAGTACATACATGTAGTAACAATCACAAATCTACTGTAGTAACAATCACAAATCTACTGTAGTAACAATCACAAATCTACAGTAGTAACAATCACAAATCTACAGTTGTAACAATCACAAATCTACTGTAGTAACAATCACAAATCTACTGTAGTAACAATCACAAATCTACAGTAGTAACAATCACAAATCTACTGTAGTAACAAGTAACAATCACAAATCTACTGTAGTAACAATCACAAATCTACTGTAGTAACAATCACAAATCTACTGTAGTAACAACCACAAATCTACAGTAGTAACAACCACAAGTCTACAGTAGTAACAATCACAAATCTACAGTAGTAACAATCACAAATCTACTGTAGTAACAATTCACAAATCTACTGTAGTAACAATCACAAATCTACAGTAGCAACAATCTAAAATCTACTGTAGTAACAATCACAAATCTACTGAAGCGGTGTCATTTTTCTGCAGTGACAAAGTATGGGCAGCATTTTCAGCATTACCAGATTTACCAAGTCAAACGGAGAAAATGCTATGGATAAATGGACATGGTTTCCACGAACGTAATTTCTTTTGGTAATAAAAAAAGAAAGATGCCAGTCTTTGGTCATAATCTTGACCAATCGCTAACTGACAGAAACACACCCAGAAATAAATAAATAAATAAATTAATGAATAAATAATTTTAAAAAATCGAGAGAGCTAAGGGATAATAAAGGAATTGCATTTGTATTCAAATAAATAATTTCAAAACTCATAATTTTGAGTGGATAAATTTTTATGAGACAATTTTCGACGGAAACTTTCTTTTCAGATCTGCAAACTATTTTCTATAGATGAAAAATCCAAACAATACTTTTTCTATTTACGTAATACGCTCCATAATTTTTTAAACCAACAAACCACCACCACCACCAACAACAACAACAACAACAACAACAACAACAACAACAAAAACTCTTAATGTAATAAATAATTCAAAAAGACGTTTAACCAATCTTTTTATTGAAAAGAAATTGTAGGCTACTTGTTTTCACTCCATATCATAGAGATTTGTAGTTTATGGCCTAAGAACGCAAATTAAAAAGCTCTGAAAATTAATTCCACAATTTGTTTTTCTTCTAATCAACAACACCCAAAGACGTGCGCTTTTTCCTGACCTCTTTCAGCAGAGTGGCGTAATTCGCAGACTTGGCGCGGTTAAAACGAGGCAACATCCGGGCTGTCATGCGCTGTCGATGCAGAATCCTGCGAGCTGCGGCCAAGTATTCATCCGCGTCATGGCAGACGTTCGGCTGCAGAATTCTCGGCACATCCTGTAGAAGAATTTGGATAACACTGATGAGCATGACACATATTTAGACGGGTTCTCTTCCTTTAACACAGTTGATACCATGCTGGGTCACGAAATGGATGGCCTTGGTTCGAATCCCACTCTGGGTGTTCTTGAACTAAGATCGTTTTATGGAGGGTTTTTTAAAAAGTTCTCAACCCATCTTGCTCGGTCGTAGGCTATCGAAGACGGACGTTAAATTCGCAGGTCCCGCCTTTTTTAATCACATAAATAAGCTTATTAGTGTAGAAAGTGGTGTTAAACCCGTACAGTTACTTACTGTCAGATTGAAACTACATTATGGGGGGGGGGGGGGGCGTTTTTTTTTCTTAATTGGGGAAATGTTGACAATACATGTACTTTTTCCGAAAACGGGTCCATAGACAGAGAAATAGAAATATGAACCCAAAAAGCCAACGTTGTCACATACAAGCTCACACCCCTCCTATCTCATCCAAACATCTCCATTGACACAAAGAGACGGCTTATCCCCTCAATATTCATACCAAAATTAAGCTACCAGTACCAAACCTGAACATTAATTAAAACCCATGAAAGCAAAATCACCGCATGCAAAATGAAATGTCTCCGCAAAAACCCTTAACATCACATGACGAGACAGGCACAGAAATGAAGGAGTAAGGGCAGCTATCTGCCTGCATTACATAGAAAGACAAAGAATAAATTGGTTTGGCCACCTGTTACGTATGTCACCTAGTCAACCAGCCTCGAGAACCTACAACACCAAGCACTCAGGCTATAAAGGAAGAGGAAGGCCTCGCAAAACGTAGATCGAGCGTGTCAAGGAATCCCTGAGAAAAAGTAATATCACAACTGAAAGAGCTGCGGAGCTGGCCTACCATAGAAAACTGCATCTCCCCTCGACGCTTAACGGCAACATAGGATAAAATAGTAAAGTAAGTGACCATACATTGTTCACTGAGATGAGTGATTGGAAATTAATTATTGCATATAGATCTAGTTATCGTTCTTATCGGCACGATTTACATCGTATAAGAGGCTCATATGGTTATCATTCTCATGGGCACGATTTACATTGTATAAGAGACAAGCTGCTTAACCATTGCCTGTCAGGGGGTCATGTCAGACTCTGTGGGATGCTGCAGCCCCGCAGGAAGACGAAGAAACTCAAAGAAATATGCAAAGCTTCATCCTTACTTAGGAATCGAACCCAAATCTTTGGGTATCCATGGCGAAGTGCAGAAATTGAAAAAATAAAAACACGTCATCTTCAGACATCCGGTGGTTTTACAGTCAATACTCAGGGACGCTATTGTTTGTCGGCATCATCATCATCATCATCATCATCACCATCATCATCATCATCATCATCATCATCATCATCATCATCATCATCATCATCATCATCATCATCATCATCGCCAAAACCCCCAAAAATTCTTGTTGCTGTGGGCGCTAGTGTTTGCCGTGTCTTCTTTTTAAAAAAAAGTAACCTGCGTTAGTGGTGTAGTAGTTGGGTGCTCCGCTGTTGCAAACAAGAGACCTCAGTTCGATTCCCGGGTGAAGAGCATTTTTATCGAGTGCCTCGGTCTTCCTGCAGCTGGGATGTTGTATCGCTGTCCGCCTAGGATGACCCTGGCAAACAGTCAGGGCAGGAAGACAGCCTCCTATATACTATAGACTATAATAGAATGTATCGACGAGGGCATAGAAAAAAGCACCACTAAAATATGTGTGGGCAAAGAGCGTTCATAACAAGATAGAGCGCGCTCATATGACCTTACGCAGTTGCGAGCGCCGTAAAACCCTATACTACTACTACTACTACTACTACTACTACTACTACTACTACTACTACTACTAACAAGAAGATAGTTCACTCGGCCAAAAAAGTGTCCGCGGAAGTCCATGCATTGCTTCAGATGGCGCTGCAGTATTTGTTTTGAAGCTCTCTTTCGATTCTCCAGAAGAAGAATAGGAATAGCGCAGTTTGCTAGTTTCGTTTTTATTGTTTTTCCCACAAGTAGGGTAATTCTGTTTGCAAAGTCCGCACTTTTTCGAAGAGGGCGCCACCGGATTTTGAGGACATTTTAAAAAATTGTCTCAAAGAGAGGAGTGAACTATCTTGTTATTGTACGACCTTTGGTGTGGGTCAACATGATTATGTTGTTGTTTTTTGTTTGTTTGTTTGATTGTTTGTTTGTTTGTTTGTTTTGTCATTGTTGAGGTTTTTGTCTCTTTATTATTTTTTAAAAAAACATTTGGGGGGGGGGGGGGGGGGTAATTTGATTTCAAGGAAAGCGTTCCTTGTTTCGTTGGGCTGAATTTGGACAAGAAGGCTGACTCAGTGATGTTCATTTTGTACTGTATAATACATGTAGGCCTCTAAAGAAGGCAAAAATAATGATAAACGGAAGATTTAGAAGAAAAGAGGCACCCGTACTACCAGAAGCGTTGGAATATGGGGTTTCCCGTTTTTTCAAAACTTAAAGAGAGAGAGAGAGAGAGAGAGAGAGCGAGCTGGGGGGGGGGGGGGGCGTTCTCTTAATTAAAGGCCACAAATTTTGCTATGTTCAAAGTACTGTAATTATACTCTTTGTATTATCATTGCAGATTTGAACTCGCACCGGGGCTCTCGTGGCCTGAGGTTAAGGTGTTCTCTCATTCAAAGGTCCCGGGTTCGAATCCAGTTAGCGATAGAAACATTTTCTTCTCTATAAATTGTCTCCTTTCACCTCTTTTCCTGCTCTCTAGCCATGTTCTGTCGTCTGCTTTCGTCTCCACTTTCTTCCCCCACCCCCTCATCTCCCTTGCCCCCTCTTCTGCAGGCTTTCCACTACTACTCCTTGGCCCCTTCTTACTGCTGTCTTCCAGACACACCCCTAATCTTCTGGTAGAAAAGATTTACACCTAGTCTTCTCGGACAAGGCCGAAAAATTCGGAGGTCCTGTGTGCAAGTTGCGAACGTTAAAGATTCCTTGGTGGCCTAAAATCGATAAGAGTAGGTTTTGGCCGGGCAAAATTCAAAATTTCCTACCAACTGAAAATGTTTAATGTGTCCCGTGCGCTCATATGACCTTATGCAGTTTCGAGCGCCGTAAAACACTTACCAAAAAACAAAAAAAAACCCAAAACCAAAACAAAACCATCACCTTATGCAATGTAGCCTGCATTCCCCTGGTGGAGGGCGGCAGCACCCACTTGAGGTGTCGTGTGTCAGGTCGGACTTTGCCGTAGTCAAACACAGGGGGAGCCTCGGGCATGATGGCGGCTGGGGCGAAAGAAACGTAGATCTATCATTGTCCCAGCGGTTTTATGCCCAAAAACCCCTGAAATTATGCAAACTGAGCCCCCCCCCCAAAAGTGAAATGATGCGATTCTGATAATTTTAACATAGACTGATAACGGAAAATAATTAGAACAGAAATTATGAAAAAAATGATCAAATATTGCTAAATAATAATTATGCGGGGTGCATAAAACCCCGGGGACAGGATGACACGATCAGATACAATGTGTTGTACTGTTCTTGCATTGGGAGAAATTGCTGTTGTTTAATCGTTTGTTTTTCAATAGTATCTACAACATGGAATATTTTATGTACTTAGTGTGAACTCATCACACACAACCTCCTCCCACCTTCTCTCTCTCTGCTCTGTCTGTCTCTCTCTGAGTCTCTGTCTCTGTCTGTCTGTCTCTGTCTGTCTGTGTGTCTGTCTGTCTGTCTGTCTGTCTGTCTGTCTGTCTGTCTGTCTGTCTGTCTGTCTGTCTGTCTTTCTCTCTCTCTCTCTCTCTCTCTCTCTCTCTCTCTCTCTCTCTCTCTCTCTCTCCTCGTACATATGCGCGTAGGTAGGTACGTATGTTCGTATATGTGCGTGCGTGTGTGCGTGAGCGCTTACGTAAGTACATACAAGACATACGTTCATACATACATACACTCATGTTTGCATCAAGCCATAGAAGTATATAAAATCCATCCATCCATCAATACATCTACACGTGAAAATATTTAAGCACACTGACTTAATAATATACTAAACACACACTCAAATAAGAAAGGAACAAAACTACCACGGTACGTAAAGTCTCAACGATTTCGTTTTGTTCTCCTGACCATGACACGTCAAATGACTTAGTCGTTTTACAAGGCGTTATGAGAAAAGTGAGTTTTTTAAAAATAAGAGCTCACCAAAATCGACTTTATAGTTTAAGAAAAAGTAAGCTCTTATTGGATTTTGGTGCACGACGCTAAATCATGGAGGATACTAAACAACGGAATGACATTTTGTTTTACCATTCCAAAAAGTCGAAACCTGAAGGAAAGAATACGGCTCAGCTGTCTAGAAATACATTTGTAGTTTTCAGTGTCATATAACATTTTTATAAACAACTCTTACGACTTACCTTATTTTTTCACTCAACTCAGGTAGCTGGAGAGGAACAAAGGAACAAAAAACAGATAAATAAAACACACAAACAAACTAGTCACGCCACACCACACACAGAATCGACGGGCCAATCCAAAATGGTTGCTGCCTTCGCTGTTTCCTCACCCGACCCGCAGCTGTATGGATTAGTAATGAGAATGTCCACTGCGCTCTGGGATTAACCTAATCACCAGGAGGTCTAGATTTTCGCTACTTTAGAATTACAAAGTTCTATCTGACATTTTTGTCCGTTTTAGATTACTGAGATCACGAGGTCAGAAACTAATTTAATGTTCTGTATGTTCTGTCAAAATCGTAAGATCATTCGGGGTCATTTTCAGGATGTTCAAAGAATTGCATTCGAAAAATCTTGACACGTTGAGAAACTCAACATTTTTTACGTCAACTCTCTTAAGATAACTAAGCTCTGAGCAGATAGAACTTTGTTATTCTAAGGTATGGTTTGGTCCGGGTGCTTAACACTTAACGCCTAGTAATCCCATTGTGTCCAGTCGACGGCTCTATTCCTGCTAGGTACACAAGGATCTGCCTCTGTGGTAAGTGCAGTTTTGAAATTACGTGATAAAGAGGATTATGTATGTACACACACACACACACACACACACACACACACACACACACACACACACACA